TCTCATCAATCATTGGGGCAAAAGTTAATTACAACTAATGTGTGAATTGATGGATGCTTCTTCTCGAATTAAAAAATTTGATAAATTAGGGGTGTTACTAAAATTGGTAGAAAATATTCATTGCAATATAACACTGCAATGTTTGTTACATTATATGTGACTTTTATGATATTTTTGTATATTGCAGTGGACGTGATTTAAAAATTTGATAAATTAAAGAAATTATTAAAATTGGATGAAGATATTGATTACAGTGTTGTAACTGTATAATATTTTCTAAATTTGGCAATTTAAGGATGTTGTTGAAATTGGTAAAGACATTGATTAGAACATAGTCATGATAATGATTGTTAGGTTTTGTGACATTTGCAGTATTTCAAAAATTTGTCACATTTAAAAAATTATTAAAACTGATAAGAGGTATAGCCATAATTTTTAAATTTGACATGTTAAGGGTGTTATTAAAATTAATAGGAATATTGGTTGGGAATATAGTACTACTAATCTCTGTTAGATTTTATATTACTTTTGTAATTGTACAAAAATTTGTATTAGGAAAATTATCCAAATTAATAATAAATGTTAATTACACTATCATAATAACGTATATTAGACTTTATAATTTATAGAATCCTAGCACAAAACCTACCAATTGCTAATGTATATTTAAATACTGTATAATTAAATAATAATAATTAAAGTGTTATAAAAATAATTATATATATACAATTAAAATTTGTATTTCAATAAAATTCTATTATATATTAATTTTACTCCTAGCAGCTTTAGTCTTTTATCTAGTTTGACTACTTAAGTAATTATAATAATAGGAAAGATCATCTAGTTTATGCTTTTTGCATAAATTTGAATTTACTTACATTTTTTTTTAATTATAATTATTAATGGAGATATACATAATACAATTATAGTTCCATATCAGAGGTCAAAATAATTATACATAGTACTTTCCATCATTTCATATTCCCTTTTACTTAAAGAAATTAAATGTAGTACATGAATAATTAATGATAGTATTTATGATAGTAACCATAAGTGACAGTAGACTAGATCGATAGCCAATAGTTAAGCCATCTATTAAGCAATTTCTTTCTAGTCTTTATTAGCTATTATTAAAAGAGAAGCAACGCGTGATGCTATGACGAAAAGTCACTTTAACCATGAAATTAATTACACGAACTCACTTAATTGCGTGATTATTCTTACGAGATCGAAAGTAATGTTACAGTGCTGTAATTCGAGATTAAGCGCGTGCTGGTTAGCTTATTCTGTCTCATTTCACTCCATAAATGTATGTCTGGTCTACGATCAGTCGCAGTTTCTTATTTATTTTTGGTGAAATCTACGAAGTAAACTTGAAAATAAAATTGTCATGCAAAATAAATACAAAGCGAATACTTAATAAATAAATAATAACAATAATAAAAAATGAAATAGAATATTTCCACCAAATTTCATTGTGATGGTATCATTATTCAAATTCCACGAGAAATTAAAATTTTCCATCAGTCATGGAATTGAATAAATAAAAATAATTAATAGAAGAATGAAAATAGCTCGACCAAATTTTACTTTAAAGTTATTCTCTTCTAAATTATACAAAAAATTAAAACTGTCTTTAATTTTCAATATTAAATAAGTAACAATAATTAATAAACAAAATATAGCATTTCGATTAAATTTTATTTAACTTAGACTTATTTAATTTTTCGAAAAAAAATTAAAATTTGCTATATTATTTAAAATTAATTTTTGTAATTACTGTCTTAAGAAATCATATTAAATTTTGTACTTTAACACTTGTTTAATTACTAGCTCTTTAATTAATATAAAATAATTTTAACGATAAATAAAATTGTATAATTTAATATTTATTGGAATTGAATACTGCTTTTTCGGTTTCTAGAGATTTCTAGTAACTAACTGCAAGATTTCTCTGCGGAAAGGATCGTTATCAGTTAACTGTAAGGTGACAACACACTAGGCAACGTTGCTGGTAACGGTAATGCATGAATGACACTTGAACTTTGAAATTTTTTTCATTTAGTCGAAGCTGAAGGTTAAACAATTGCGAACTCTAACTAATTGCACGCGAACATAAGGTAAGAGAGATTTACTCCTACATATTTTCTTATCTTTTCTTATTTTCTAATTTCATTTTTGTAATATTAAATAAAAATATGAAATAAAAAGGAAATCTGTTTGTCGTTGAGCTATTTATTCGTCATACCAATTAAAAATATATGAAAACCGATTAATTAACATTATGAGATATTCCTAGCATAAAAATTTTGTAAAAAAACGAATAAAAATTTTTAAACGAATTATATTAGAATAATGAATTTTTTTACAAATAGGATTTAATTCTATTCTTTTTCCTTTTGCGAAACAAGGATAAGATTCTATCTCTTTTTAGCATTTAAACTGGAAAATTATGAGTTTTGAATTTCAAATTGAAATTAAAATTTAGAATTCAATTTATAGAATTAGTACTTTAAATATGAGATTTATTATTAGAATTTTTAATTAAAAACTTAAATTTGGAAATCCTTAGTATTTTAAATATGAGATTTAATATTAGAATTTTGAATTAAAAATTTAAATTTGAAGAACCTTAGTATTTTGAATATGAGATTTAATATCAGAATTTTGAATTGCTAACTTAAATTTGAAAATCCTTAGTATTCTTTAAATACAAGATTAAATATTAGAATTTTAAATTAAAAACTTAAATTTGAAATTGAAAATCCCGATTCTAAAATTCAAATTATCGAATTTCCAACCTAAAATTATAATTTTTAATTTGTAATTATAATTTATAATTTTGAAACAAAGCTCTCGAGCCTAGAATTTTTATTTTGATCCCAAAATTATTCTCCAGCAAATAAAATTAGATAAAACTTGTAGCTTTTAATTGCTAGTCAAGTTTTCTCAAATTCTGTTAATCAAGAAGCAGGGTTGCAAAAATTTTCTCATACTAATTCATCGACTACTTACACGCTTATTCGCTCGTTTCTCCTTTCCTTTTCTCTATTTCGTCCTACCTCCGTATAAATTAATATCACAGCACACATGCAACTGGAATTGTAGAACCCGTTCAGTAAGTGGACCCTTACGCACGTGGACACAGTTTCCAGGTGAAAATTACAGAATTTTTCACCTATATCCGATAAATCGCGGAGAGAACAGAATCTAGAATAAATTTCGATACCGGTAACTCGTGGTAAAAGTGCATTCGTTAAATTATTTCATTCAACCGCTATATGTATAATTTCTGTAGCGTGACCTCGATATCTACATCGCCACTTTTACATAATAATTTCACCTTAGAAACTCGCAGCTGAACAACTTCGCGTTTAAGGTATCGTTTCTGTATTATTCTTAACATCAGATGGAATCCTTAAAATATTTCAAACTGCAACACGATCGTATTACTCAATTCCTATCATAATTAATTACGTATTACGTATCACGATAAACAATAAGACCGAGAAATTTGCTAACTACCACTTGTAATCGTAATTCACCTATCATTACACGAAACTCATCAGAAACGAAAGTATCGATGCATTCGAAAAATTTATTACAAATTTCCAGAAAAATTTTTATCGAATTTTTAAACAGGTTACGTAATACCGATTTAAGAGAAGGCTGCTGATATCGTAACAGTCTTTATGTAACGATGCAAAAATGAATTTTTCGCGAGAAAATGAAACCTTTATTCCTTTTCTCCAAGCTCATAGTACTCGCAATTTTATTACTATAATGGAATATTTAATATTTACAAAGCTAATATTACTTCATCCAACTGCAATATACGAACACTTCACTCGGATACCATGCTACTTCCCTGCCCTAAATGACCGAGATTTTATACACGTTTTTACCTTTACAGGTTGACCACAAAAGGTATCCCGATATAGCATATAAACTTACATAATGAAACAAAAATTCTATAAAACGTTGTTCCACGAAGACCTGGAAGGCTGGAAGAAGTTAACGAATTTCGCAATTGGATCACCACGCGGTGGTTTCTGAAATTCCGCTTTTTCGCGGAATCGCGAATTAGGCGAGACGGGAATGAGGGGAGAAGAAATCACGAGAGACACGTGGACGTATTCTAAACGCTAAAATCCGAAGCTCGGAGGCCGATAATGAGCCGCATATGGTGACCGAACGTGCAAGAATCAGGTACACAGTGAAAGGTTTTAGACAGACAATAAAAATGCATCAGCGGCTGGATCGATAGTCGAATCGAGAACTTAAGAATGATTTTCAAGAGTGACGAGAAACCAGAACAACCTGCCGGGCAACGTGTCCCGTGTACGAGTTGCTGCAACGGTAACATAAGAGGACACTGGGACAAATTGCGTCCGTTCTCCCTATCAAAGACCCTAGACGCCTGAACAATCCTAGCCTGTTACCCGCTCAACACCGACGCGCCGAATAATTACAGGCCTTAATCAATTGCGCAATCAACGCGAACCCGGCAACGCCGACTCTGAAATCAAGAACAGCTCGAAAAAGTATCACAAACGCGTTTCGCAACCGTTTGCCTCCTGCAGTTCTAGGCCCACGATCAATGACCGAGGAATAAATCGCTAAAATTTTGCAAAAATCCGCGCCGATTTCGAGATCCTGTGCTGTTAACACCTGGAAAATCGAGCGAAGAAGATCAGACAAAGAAACCTGGTCTCGTTCGTTAAATATACGCGACTCCGAAGTCGTTGGCCAGTCCGGTCCAGTTGCCGGTCGATTTTCCAGATTCTCGAGAAACCTGGCCAGTCTGGTGGGGAATATTTAGGGGATATAAGGTGCTGTAACGAGACAAGGCGGCCGTATATACAGGAGTCGAATAGATAGTGAAAGTCCCCCAGAGCTAACAGGAGTGTAGAGGGCAAGAGGGGGGTAGGAACGGGGGACCCCAGTAAGGTATATGAGGGCCTCAGTTCGAGCAACCGCTGGTACTCTAGCCTCGCTGCCTACTTACATTCACACACACTAACACAACAACCACCTGGAACACAATGTACACCGTCGCGACGGTACGTATCACGTAGTGCGTCATCATCGTCATTGTTCTCCATTTGCCAGGCCCTCCGAGTACGAATTTCCACCGAGTTTCCTCTAAATACGGTATCCTCGTGTATCGCCACGGGGACGTGATCGCGATCGTCCACCTGGCTGTCGACCAGGCACGATCGATCGTGGCTCGATTTTCCATTCTCGCGTGTGATGTGATCGTTTTTCATCGTGACGGAACTGTGCTTGTGATTTGTGCATTTGCCTAGTGCACGGTTGCTGGAGAGCTCGTAGGACCTTGACTCGTTAGAGCGGTCGGGATAATTCGGTGACGTCTGGAACCCTGTTTGATAGATGTAGAGGATAGTCGTAGAGTCGACACGTTGTTTCACGGTTTCGTAATGGCGGCTAATAAACGTTACCGCGGGCAAATCGCTCGATCCAGACCCCTATGTGTGATCCACGCAACCAGCGCGGAGAAATCGGCTCGCTGGTAATTCGCCGCGCGATTCGTCGAACGTCGTTACACGCTCGTAAAGGCAACGCGATCGAGGCGCGATTACGATTAGGATTATTACGGCGATTTACAAGTATCCCGCGATCCTTTTTCCCCCGGCTGGCGGTGAAAAATTACGAAAGCCTAATTCCAGCGGTTTTACATCGCCGCCTACTCGCTAGGAATTATATAACGAGTTATGCCGAACAGGAACACGTTTTGGAGTTATGTCGGACAGAGCTCGTGGCGATTGCGAGTTCCAGCGTTTCTCGCTCGCGGTCATTCGAGCAGAACCGCACAGGAAGTGCGTTGGCCAGATGGGAACGGTGACGAGGCTCGTAGGATTTTCCAGCGCGCGTAATTTACGAGGATCGTCTTTTGCGTCCGTCTGCATCCTCGCGGGGTGCTAGACCCCTCTGGTTTACGGGCAGAGCACTCGCGTTTATCGCTCGTAGGCCGCCTGGCGCGACTTCCACGTCCAGACTTTTACCGACTGTCGCCGTCAAGAATCCGGTATCCTTCGAATGCGGTTATCTACTCGACGGTGGTGTAATAAAGTCACGTCTGGCGGTTAAGGTTCTGGTAACTCGGAGGGTCATGCATCGCTGCGCGTGGACCTTTCTGCGAACAATTACGGTTTATGAAGTCTCGGATTAACAACAACGCGATACCTCTCGCGATATCCGACCGCATGGCGATTAAATTTATGGTGGTTTCCGTAGTCCTCCGCTTCGCTCCACACTTCTCTGCCCTGCAATCGTAAATTACGCGAGACACGAGCAAAAGCGAGCAATAGCAAACGAGTGCGTGGGCCCTAGGACCTGTACCAACCGTTTTTTACCGATTTTTTCGAGAAAAAGCGACGACGGAACGCGCCACCATATTTTTAGCTCGATTTTTACGAGCTACCTACGAGGCACTGGTAGATCGATTAGAAAGGCACGATCGAGAGCAATGACGTTGATAATTTAACAACTGCACCGCGAGGTCGCGTGTACGGGAAATAAACGAACGGGAGATTAACACGGATTAATTACGTATTAGCAGCACTGTTGACTACGTCATACTGCCTGATGCTAGTAACTCAGCTGTTTACTTGCTCCTCCAGGTATTCTCATTGGTAGCTGCGATACTCTCGGTATCGGCGCAGCAATACCAGCAACCGGGTGCCAACTACGTCGACGATTACTCAGCCTACGAGTCCCCGAGACCGGCTCATCCGACACCTCGAAGCTACGCCGCTGATGCAGTGCCGAACCGGCAATCGGCAGGACCGACCACCCCCAAGCCCACCCCAGTCGCCATCCTCAAGCAGATCAACAGGCACAACGAGGACGGATCGTACACGTACGGCTTCGAGGGCGCGGATGGCTCCTTCAAGATCGAAACGAAACTACCGACCGGAGAGGTGAAGGGCAAGTACGGATTCGTGGACGACACTGGGAAGGTACGAGTGGTCGAGTACGGAGCGAATCAATACGGCTTCCAACCGGCTGGAGAGGGTATCACGGTCGCGCCGCCGACTCTGGTAGACGAGACCACCAGCAAGGAAGCTCTGCAAGCACAGAGCTACCAGGAAGAGTACCAGCAGCCAGCAGCCAGACAACCGCTCAGAGCTGCCCCTGCGCCTGCGCCGCGACCAGCACCCCTTCAGCAGCAGCTGCAGTACGAGCAGCCGGCTTATCAGCAGCCACAGAGTCACACCCAGGCTGTCTACACGCCCCAGTTAGCGCCTAGACAGTCCAGCCTCTCTAAACCACCTATCTTCACGCCAGCTGGTCCCCAGCACGGAATCCCTAAACAAAGTCCCATCCTCCAGTCCGCAGACGAATCGGTGCCTCCGTCCCAGTTGTACAATCAGGGTCCAGCTCAATTTGGTCCAGCTCCCGTTCAGGAACACAGATCCCAGCCACAGCCTCGTAGTCAGAGCGGTGGTATCCTGGACCAGTTAGCCAGGGACTACGCTCTGCCACAGGGCGTAGCACCGCCGTTGCACGACATCAGCTTCGGTTACTACTAGGTCCTCTAGTCCCTCCCGTGTCCGTCAGGGTGGTCCCCGTGCGTTTTGGTCTGTCTGTATTGTCTGAAGACGCGATGCCTCGACGGCCTCCCCGGTTCGCCGTGATCCCGGCGTGGCCTATCTGTCCGGATAGGCGACACTGTGATTCGTAGGTCGCGTTTCGATTATTACCGAAGCAAGCTTCGAGAGTCTCGAGAGTAGAGCTAGAGTCTGGTAAGAGGATTGTACGCTGGTCTTTGATTCCTGTTTCGGGCAAAGGTTCTCGAGCTTTCCTTCGGTAATAAGCAACTCGCTGTCATGGCAGCCTACCGAGTCGTATCTTCGCTTTCTCCATGAGGGTACGAGTTCATTCTTGCCATTGGATTCGAATGTGACGAGCATGTTTCATGGCACGTGGAGTGGAAATAAGGAAGGATCTAAACTCGATCAAGGTTATTTCGTTCTGTTCCTGAATATATCCGTTTGCGAGCATCTGGGATAGGGGTACTCTGGCGTAGGTACTCTAGTCTAGGGTATTCTAGGCTAGGGGAGGTCAAGGATTCTTTCGTTTCCATTTCACGATCGCGAAAAATATGTCAAAATCGCTAGCGTCGTGGTAAGGTTGTAAAAATGTTGTAAATAAAAATTCCACGGCCCACGGTAGGCTTCCGTGCTGGTTTTAATCCTAGAGAACGCAGCTTGCACGCGCGTCACGAGCACACACGGTTAGAATTTCGTTTCAAGGAGACAGCCTCGCTTTGCCAAGCTGCGTCTTCGAGTTCGCGTCTTGCGGGACTGCACAATAAATTCAGCACGCTTACTATAATGTATTGTAATTAGATTATTATAAGGTACGATAGATTGGAATAAATCGCGAGACCAACACAACACCTTCTTCATAATCGCAGCTCGAGCAATTCTTCGAACGAAAATCCCAAGTATTTTCACCCACCACTCTCATTATAGTTTACGCAACTCGGAAGTGAACGTTTCGTTTGAATTTTTGTTAATGATAATAACGAGGATAATAATAAAGGCGAAAGAGACATTAATAAACGTTTTCAAGCTATCACGTTAAATATATTCACGATATATCCTCCGACTTTCTAATTGTTCCTGTTTTTCCAGTAGCCAACACAGCTCGCTTGACCAGTTGCAACAAACGACCTTTCAGATTATTTCTTCACTGATAAAAATAACAGAAGGCAGGCTCGAACTGTATCAAGTTTGTGCCGGAACTCCGTCTCATTGGAATTTCAGTTACGAAATTTCTTCGTCGACCTTCACGTTTGTTCGACATAAAGGACGCACGGTCTGCTTAGGCTACGTGTAACAATGGTTCCGTGTGATTACGTCACGTTTTAAAATACGAAACGGACCTAGCGATTCTGTTCGCTGACAATTACGTGAAAACGACTGTGAAAGTGGCGTAAGTCATTTTTACCGTGTTCCAGGTATCGATGCTTAAATCGTGGCTGACGATTATCATAGGAGCGCGGAAAATTTATACCAATTGCTTCACTTTTCTTCTCCAGTATTCTTGCTATATATTATGGATAAAAATATCTGGATATTTTTTAAAATAGAATTATTTCTTCAAAAGAAGTGGGGGAAGCTTAAGCACCTGTTTTATAAAATTATGTGCATAGCAAATATTTCATTTAGTCTATAACTCGTTTATAATAATTATTTTAATTTAAAGTTAAATACGCGTGGTTTCGCATGCATATAGGAAATATTTTGTTTAGTATATAGATAAAAAAATATCTGGATATTCTTTTAAACAGAATTATTTGATCAAAAAAAGTGGGAGAAGCTTAAGTACCTATTTTGCAAAATTATGTGCATAGGAAATATTTCATTTAGTCTATAACTCGTTTATAATAATTATTTTAATTTAAAGTTAAATACGCGTAATTTCGCATGCATATAGCAAATATAATATTTTATTTGATATAAAATTTGTTTGTTATAATTATTTTAATTTAAAGTTAAATACGCGTAGTTTTGCAAGCATATAGCAAATATAATATTTTATTTGATATAAAATTTGTTCGTAATAATTATTTTAATTTAAAGTTTTATACGCGTAGTTTTGCAAGCATATAGCAAATATAATATTTTATTTGATATAAAATTTGTTCGTAATAATTATTTTAATTTAAAGTTTTATACGCGTAGTTTTGCAAGCATATAGCAAATATAATATTTTATTTGATATAAAATTTGTTCGTAATAATTATTTTAATTTAAAGTTTTATACGCGTAGTTTTGCAAGCATATAGCAAATATAATATTTTATTTGATATAAAATTTGTTCGTAATAATTATTTTAATTTAAAGTTTTATACGCGTAGTTTTGCAAGCATATAGCAAATATAATATTTTATTTGATATAAAATTTGTTCGTAATAATTATTTTAATTTAAAATTAAATACGCGTAATTTCGCATGCATATAGGAAATATTTTATTTAGTATAAAATTTGTTTGTAATCATTTTTTAAATTTAAAGTTAAATACGCGGAATTTCGTATCTATGTAGCAGATATATTATTTAATATAAAATTTGTGTGCAATAATTATTTTAATTTAAAGTTTTATACGCGTAGTTTTGCAAGCATATAGCAAATATTTTATTGGATATAAAATTTGTTCGCAATAATTATTTTAATTTAAGATTAAATACGAGTAGTTTTGCATGCATATGGCAAATATTTCATTTGGCATAAAATTTGTTTGTAATAATTATTTTAATTTAAAGTTGCATATGCATAGTTTCGCAATTTAATTTCTCCAACTTGTGATTGATTTTCTATTATAAACCTAAATAATAACTATTTATTATTAGAATGATATAGTATCTCAATAATCCTCGATATTTTTAAAAATATATCTGAAATTAGTCATTTTGCCAAATTCGAAAATTCTGCTGTAGACAAACGCGAATAATAATTTAATCGAAAAACCTAATCCTTTCAATGATAAATTTACTAGTTACCATCGGATCATTAGCGAATATAGTTGCAATCTGCATGATCGCCAAGCCTGCATTGACGGCAACCGGGATTACGCTGGTGCAAAGTAAGGCTCCCGACTCGTTGCTGTCTCGTCCCGATCGTAAAATGGTGAAATTCGCGTAAGTCGAAGAATAGAATTTGCAGTCACTTTCTCACACGCGGACAAGCTCAAAAGCAACGCGAAGTTTCGTTCTATCCGCAAGATCTACGCCACCGAAATTCCTACGTTCCCAGACGCGTCCTTTTGTTGCGATTTAGCAGTTTTCTACGGTACAACGACATTTCCTCTCGATGTCCCAACACCGGTTATTCTCTGAACAGCTCGAGAAATATGCATACGCGGTAATTCACGGAGTTTAACTCGATGAAAGAGCGTATTCAAAGGATTTCGAAGAAAAATACGAGCCTATTGTATTTTTTCGAAACCATGAATATTCATCTGTTTGTTCGCGAATATCATTGTGAGCTACGCGTTACGTATGGTCTGACACAATTTTCGACGTAATTCGAAATCTCTCCAGTCAAGAGCATTCTGCTTATATTTGATATAGTAGAATTTTTGGCTAAATTAATGCTATGCAGACAGAGACCTGCGCGTCGAACAAACAATAACTCCCTTTTTCTAACAAAACAGGTTCTATTTAACTAAAATATTACACTAAGTTTCTCACACGATCCTCTATTCATTATGTCTCTACACACATTCAGTCTTCTAACTCGATTCAAATCTGCCTACTTCTCAATTTTTCTCAATTCTGACTGCCTCACGCCCTTGTATCTGTTGCGCCCCGAACACTGCAACTCGCTCGGGGAGTTTCACGGGGTTGTAAGGCCCATTACGATGCAATATTGCTGGGATGCGGCCTACTCTGACTCGATAGAGTTAGGCCTAGTTATTGTTGAACTGCAGAGAGTTCTAGTAGCAGACAGTCTCCTGCACTGAGTTATCGGTGGGTCTCGATGACGATGGTGTAGTCGTGATGAAGTTTTTAGGAAGAATCTTTTCGTGAATGCCTTGTGGTTTTATAAGGTTCGACTGTCTACTGATTGGTTGGTATAAAATTGGGGATGTGTATTAGTTTCAGCGTCTTTCGGTGGTGGTGGTTGTTTAAACAATCTAGGTCCTTGTGCCTGACATTTTAAAGGGTTATATATCGGTCCTTGTCACGGTTTATCCAAGCGGTGATTTAGGTGACGCTGAGTATATACAAGTCAAAGGACGCTTACAATATGGACATAAAGCAGTCCTCCACTTGACCTGGGACATTGCGGTCCTAGGGCCGCAACAGTATCCTTACTTAACACTTTGCCGGCCGCTGTCACGCAGACGTGACTCTGGTTCAGCGCGGCACAATGTTCCACTATGCTTCTGTTGTAACTCTTCTTTTTTTCTTTTCTCGACATTCTTTAAGCAGATTCTTGTGCCGTTAGTCTCAAATATTAGTGCCTTTTTAAATAATAAGAATAGCGTAAATATGACCATCAGCAACTAGTATAACCCGCGGGAAATTCACCAGCGCCGAGAAATGAGCGGCCGGAAAGTGTTAAAGCCCAAACTATCTCTTTTCATACACCGGTTTTCCTTCTCTATCATTCGACATGGTCATAGACATCCCAATAAAGGATTTCGCGCTATCGTTTGTTCTTTTGTGCTAAATGCCCGAGTCGGACTCGATACTGCCGTTCACTATGCTTTTCAAGAAGCCGCCCAAACGTTTCCATGCACTCCCTTAGAAGTAGAACTGCACCCCCATTAGCCTCGCTACTACTCTTAATACATCGTTAGTGTCCTTCACCGCTCGCCATCCAACGATATTTTTCTGGGAAAAAGAATTTGGTAAAAAGAGTTCGGCTATATTTTGTAATAACATCAGCTTGTTATTTGCTTATATTGTAGAATGGCGGAAATTGGATTTGAGGCACCAAAACTGAGAGAGCAACAAGAACAGAATAACACGAACCCGAAACTCATAAAACTGATGTAAGATATTTTTAGACATTG